GCTTATCACTCAGTGAGTCGGAAACATCAAGATTGAGTGGCATAGCTAAAACATTAAAGGACACATCACATTACCATATTAGTAAATTTTCAAATGATGACATCAGCTTATTGTCAAAATTACTCAAATCATGGCCAGTTTCCATGATGTTTCCAGGTCAGCATCTTTAAAAATTACATATAACATAAGCATATTATATTATTATTAACCATCTCTACAACTTTTATACTATAACAAAATCATCAAATATTATTGCAGTTATTGACATATTAAGGATGGTCATTTTACATCCAGACGGATCATCTGTTCTGAAACGTGTTAGCGATGAAAATGGTATCTAATTATCTGTACTAATTTCTCACTAAACACACACAAGGTTCTAGAATATGATTTTTTTTTTTTTTTTAACTCTTCAGATATATTCATGGATTTAATCAAGAAGGTTACAAATAATCCTCTTCCCCCAAATCTTCTAACCAGCATACGTGCTGTAGTAAATCTTTTTAAGAACTCAAGTTTCCATCTATGGTTGCAAAACCATCGTGTTGAGGTATACATTTTTTTTGTCCTAATATTAAAAATGAAAAACACTACTGAATTCCATTTTGGTGAGATTGTAGATTTTTGATGCATTCGCTAGTTGTTATTCATCTCCAAATAAGAATGTCCAAATATCTTATTCTACATTGGTGCTCAAGTAAGTAAATTTGCCATTTGGATTTGGATATATTTTTGTTTTTCTTTTTAATATTTTGAAAATTATGAAAAATAAATGATCCACTTATTTTGAGCGTTACAGTTATGCTGTGCTATTGATTGAAAAGAAGGATGAAGAAGGTCAATCTCATGTTCTTTCAGCAGCTTTAGAGGTAACATACACAAACCTTTTTTCTAAATACTTAAATTAGAAAATTAACAAGGGCAAATTTGTAAAATGTTTGGTTTTTTTTTCCTACAGATTGCAGAAGGGGAGACTTTGGAAGTTGATGCGAAATACCGAGCACTAGTGGCTATTGGATCACTGGTGTGTTAAATTTGAATGAAATAAATAAGAGATTTTAAAATATGTGTGTGGTGGTTTAATTTGTAATGTAATTACAGATGGTTGAGGGTGCTGTGAAGAAAATAGCAATGGACTTTGATGTTGAGAGTGTTGCCACATCAGCAAAAGCATCAAAAGATTTGAAAGTTGCTCAAGTTGGAGCTGATATTGAAGCTGTAATAAAGCATGCTTGATTCTCTGGTAATTATTATAATTCTTTTCGTTCATATGTTTAATGATCACTCAACTTTTAACATGGAAAAGCTTCTTTTTCACGACTTATTGTTGATGGGTTTTTTTTTTGCATGAAGTGAAAAGAAACAGCCGTATATAGCTTAGCTTACCACATTAAGTCAAAAAAATCAAGCATGTTAATGTATGGAGTCGATTGTTAATTTTGATGATGTTTTTTTGCAGAGTTGATAGGAATTGCTGGGTGGAAAAAGAAAAGAAAAAAAAAAGTTTAAAGGTGGTGAATCATGGAGGATGCATTAGGTGTTTTTTAACTTTTTATATATAAAAGGAAAAAAGAATGGAATGATGTATTGATGTATACTTACTTGGGTATTATATCCGTTTTACTTAACTTTACTGATGGGGAATTCTTTTCGTAGAAGAAGAAAATGTTGAAATTTTGTTTTTATGAATTTGGTTGGCATGAAAATAACATGTCATCTGGTAATTCATGCATATTGCCCAAGAAGTTGACAAATTCCTAGATAAATTGCATTTACAAAAAGGAAGAGGAACTTGATCAATTTACATGTTACATTTTTTACCCAAGCCCTCAAATCATAAGTCTGGTTCTTTTAACCACAACACATTTCTCAACATTCTCATGAGAAATATTGACCTTTTCCTAGGAGACCTCAAACGTAACTTTAGACTATCCATATTATCAATGACATCTACCGTTTGTTTATTTTGGTATCTCACTGTGTCATTAACTATAATATTGCTATATTTTTTAACTCTCTAATTTCATTTCAACAACTCACCCAACTACACACTCCAACAATTTCTTCACTCCTTTTCTATTGATTTAGGAGCAAGAGATTCCCCAAATTAATGCTCTCTTGAGATTGTAGGAAGGAGTCAAATTTAGAAGCAACTCACGCAACTACCTTTCTGGAAAAGGACGCTAGCTGTAGGTTTACTAAACAAATGGTAGGAAAGGGATCTAGCTTGGATGTAGAGGATTGGCTGAAGATTAAAAAGGATACATATCATGATTGAGGCATAAGAGCGTAAAGAGGACCTTTTAATATCTCTATGACCCTTTCGAATACTTAACTGCTTCAACTCCACCATTTTTGTCTTACGACCTCTTCAATGAATTTGATATTAAATAAATGTAAATAACTCAATGTCTAAAGAGAAATCTATTGTAATTTTTAGCATGCATGCATTTCGTAGATCATTGGGATAAAGATTAACTTATGGATAACGCTCAACTTAAGTAAATTTTATATATTGCTTGGACCTTGAGTAATTAATGTCGGTTTATTATTGAATAAATGATATAAAAATTAGCTAATTAAGGCCAAAAATGAGATTTTACATTGTTAGGAACTAAAATACTTGTAAAAATTTCCAATAAACAACACAAACTGAAAAATTTTCATTTATACTTATTTTCTCTCTTTTTGTTTAATATTTTGCTTGTTTATATCAGATCCGATTTCATTATATAAATTTCTTATTCATCTAATAATAACATGAAAGCGGGGATAGCTCAGTTGGGAGAGCGTCAGACTGAAGATCTGAAAGTCAGGTGTTCGATCCACCTTCACCGCATCTGCATTTTTTTATCATTACATGAAAATTAAAAATCAATTGTTTTATTTTTGCTTGAATCTATATTACAGCTCAGATTTCCTATTTCATATCTCCTTGCACTATATTGTTTGCTCGATCAAAGTCCTCCTAACATCTAAAAAATTTATGCCTGTTTGTTATCTAATTGTGGTTTAACTGGTTATGGTTGTTTATTTATTTTTTATCATGGGATCTTGGTTGTGGTTATCGAAGTCTGTATCTCTTAGAAAAATCAGTGGCGTAAGAGATATTGTGTGTACAAACTTGATTCACTTGCATTAATTTGTTAAAACTGAAACCCAAATGAAGAAAACTACTTCTACCACACAAATTAAGCATGATCCCAAGTTCAATTAGACATGGCCCCAATCTGAATTAGAAGCTACACAATCTCAAAACAATGATGATGCAGAAGCCCATAATACCAACCTTGAGCCACAAGAACGCCAGAAAACTCAATGGCAACCATATTCCAACAATTGTGGATCCCGAGCAGCATGTAGGTGATTCCATTGATCATGAAAAAGCTCAAGTTAGATAATAACGACGAAGTTGTGAGGTTAGATTATGAGGATCATGTAACAAAGCTTTTTATGTAGTTCTTTCTTCCTCTTTGCTAGCAATATAGTTAGACCAAAATGGGCAATTAAATGAAATGTAAATAGACCATAAATACGAAAAATAACTAGGGTTAATTAAGTCTTAAATAAAAACTAATTAAAAGCCCAATATATAAAAGGCTAAGCCAAACGCACCATACCATTTACAGGGCCTTTCTTATACTAACCAATCCCACAGTTCAAAAGATAATCTTTAACTACGTTTTATTTAATATAATAAAACATTAAACAATGAAAGCAACCATTTGACAAGGTTTGGAATGGCATCTAGGACCAATCTGCCTCGGCATAAATGGATTTGTTGTTACTTGGAATAAAAACACGAAGCATAAAAGTACAAAGCTACTAGCAATGAATGTTATGAGAAGAACTCTGAGTTCATTCTTTGAGGGAATGTTACTTTAGAATCAAAACAAACAGTTTATTGAACATTATATATGGCATCAATAATATAGGTGTAATGATCAAACATAGAACATAAACTAAAAACAACCACTCTTTTATTTTCCATCCAACCTAAAAATAGAATTCAGTAATCATTCATCTGATTCTGATTAACCGTCACTTTAATTGATATATAAGTAGATCAAGGTCGAAGCTATATGACCGCTCCATTAATGGATAAAAGATAGTCAGTCAAGAAAAATGATAAAAAGGAACCAAGGGCAAAAATGTCATTTTCAATAGTTAGGAGCTAAAATCCTTATAAAACTTTCGAATGACAACAGAAAATGCTAAACTCTCATTTATACTTTTTTTTTCTTTCTTATTTTTGTTTTAATATTTATTTATATCAGATTTGGTTTGCATAAGAAAATATTTGATTCATCTGTCATAAACATAAAAGCGGGGATAGCTCAGTTGGGAGAGCGTCAGACTGAAGATCTGAAGGTCAGGTGTTCGATCCACCTTCACCGCATCTGCATTTTTATTATGAAATTTAAACTTTTTTTATGCGGATTGCTTTGGGTTTAACTTTTAGCTTTTTTATTTATTCATTGCCTTGTGAATTGTGATGTTCTTACGTCTTGCAATATATTATTTGCTCGATCAATCCAGAAGTTCTCCAAACTTTAGGCTTGTTTGTTATCAAATTCCGGTTATCGTTTTCTATTTTTTATTTTTTTTTTATTTTTTTTTTTTAAATGCGATCCAGTGCTATTTGTTGTAGTTTTTTTATTTCGGGCTTGATTGAATCATTTGTGTTAGACTTAAAATGGGTGTTTGGGATTGAGTTTCAAACCAACTTATTAGCCTTTTGTCATCGTGATATTATAATAGATAGATTTTGATGATTTCTTTGTTAGGGTTAAGAATCAAAAAACACACAATAAAGATGCGGTGAAAAAAGAAACAAGTATTTAATATAAGCATATCAACCAATTAAATAATGTACAAACTAGAAAGAGATTTTTATTAGACTTGTAGAAATACAGCCATCGTCTAGCCGATCCAAAACCAAAACCAACAGGGGGTCCATAAGGATAAAATAAAATAAAATACAAAATCTAAATTTTCAATTTTTTTTTTTTTTTTTTTTTTTTCAAAATAGGTGCTAAAAATAGTTAAGTGGTACCAACTACATACTCTTATAAAAAAAAAATGACTAAATTATATGGTGGGGCCCAATTTTAAGTGGGATCCATGCACCCCTCTATTTATTAAATATATCTTGATCTCGGATATATGTAAAAGACATGAACGCCCTCCACACGAACATAGCCCTAAGAACTAAGAAGGTTGTCCGATTATAATCAAGTCTCATATAACAAACACAGTCTTAAAGTGATCGAAGTGGTGAGATTTTATAACATGTGTAGATAAATACCAACCCATGGTTTTGTATTATAGACACACATACATCACATAAACATTCATATGTATACATAACATATGCCTAATCTATATCTATGCCAGTTGTAGTACTTCTTGGCGTTTGATCTCAAATACCCTAAGCAGCACATCCTCCACTACCTGCACATACAAATATACAATATAAATTTCAATTAGACCCTCACACTTTTACAAAAATGAAAAAGCAGCCCCTCAGTGTTTTAGTTTATTACCTTGTCAGGGGTAGATGCACCAGATGTGACACCAATTGTGACATGACCTTTTGGTAGCCAGTTCTCTTTTTCAACCAATTCACCATGCTGTTGCAAATTGCAATCAGATAAGTTGTTAAGACATATACACACTTGCATAAATAAAGTAATACTAATAAAGTGATGTTATGGTTACCATTAACTTGTAAGCTATGTGGTTCCCGGGACCCACTCTTTGTTCACTATCAATCCAATAAGATGGAATGCCACGTTCCTCTGCAATCTCTTGTAGGTGTGAGGTGTTGCTTGAGTTCCACCCACCAACCACTAACATAAGATCTAACTTCTCATCCACCAATTTATACATAGCATCTTGTCTCTCCTACATTTACAATTAAATTTGTCATGGAATCATTCATTCCATTGATATGGAATAATAATAATAAGAGAGACACAAGGATCTTACCTGAGTTGCATCACAGATAGTGTTGAAGCTTATGAAGTGGCTGTTGATATTTTCTACTCCAAACTTCTGCATCATTGTCCTCTCTACTAATCTTCCTGAAAATAAAAGGAAAAAGAAACCAAGTATTTTAATGATATATAACTTATATATAAAAAGTAACATGAGGAATTATTTGAAACAACAAAAAAAAAACTGACCTATCTCCTCTGTTTCTCCTTTCAACATTGTGGTTTGGTTTGCCACACCAGCTTTCACAAGATCTTTATCTGGATCAAAACCTTTGGAAACTGCAAATTTAAATTTCTGCAAGCATACAAAGTGCAACACAACACATTGTACTTTTAATCTTTTTATTATTAAGACATTGTACTTTTAGACATTGCTATAATTGGGTAGATTTTTTAAAGTTCAATGAAGTTAGATGCAATGATAAACAAATCACCTCCAGAAAAGCTTCTTTGGTTGAGCTAGATCCATTAAGTTCACCACCAAGAATGTAATCACACACATATGTTGCCTGGATCAAGTAATAAACTATTATTTAATATAATTAATATCAATGTGGAAAAGTGTTTTGCACTTGAGAAGAAGAATACCACATTAAGCATACCTCATCCATGTTCTTCACAATGATATACTTTCCTGCAAAAGAGGCTGTTGCCACTGTCTCTTCATGGGTATACTTACCATGAATGATTGAAGTATAATCCCCCTTCTTGTGCTTTTCTACAGTATTCCACACCTTAGACACCCAAGGGCATGTTGTGTCAACTATTTGTACTTGTTTGTTACTCAAAGTCAACATTTCGTCTACTGCAGCTCCAAAAGCAGGCAGAATTACAACATCACCCTTATCAACCACATCAAATTGTTTTTCTCCTTCCTCAATTGGGATATCTTTAACTTCCATCTCTTCTAGCCTCTACCATTACAAAAGTTCAAAACTTTAATCATCATCTGTTGAAAAAATGTAAAGTTTTACAAGATACATGCATATGAGGGAAGTAGGAATAATAGAGAATACTTTCACTTAGGAATCAACAGAAATCTATTAAAATGACAGCGCTATGATCAACTGAAAACAGAACTAATAAAAGACCCCTTAAAAATGTTTATTATTGGAGGAAAATCACCAGAAAACTGTAAGCCAAAGAAACTAAGCTAGTACCTTATTAACAGTCGGGTTGTGAATAATTTCGTTAGTGATCCAAATCTTCTCATCAGGGAATTGTTTCCTGGCTTCATAAGCAATCTGGACAGCACGCTCAACACCCCAGCAAAAGCCATAAGCTTCTGCAAGCTTTACAGTAACATTTCCCCATGTATATTCATAGTTATTCTCCTTCAAAGTCTTTATTATGTCACCTATAAAATTCAATTTAAACAAAATACATATCAATCATTAGAATTTTAGGCTATAAGACAGCTTACACCGTGTTGAAACGATTATTTAACATAAGCATCGGTGTTGGAAACTCCGTTAGACCAGAAAATGATCTCAATCAGTTTTCCAGTCGTAGACAAATTAGCCCATGAGATAAGTAAATTTGAACAACATCAGAAGCCGCATCAAATTTATAAATTCTCAATGCTCAATATCTCAAATTCAGGAAAAAGAACTAGTTGAAACAAGCTAAACGGATAAGATTATTACTGGTATACTCTTGACTCATGAGCTCAAGCGTCTCCTTCTTGTGTCCGAATCCTTTCCGGTTGTAGTTCTCGCTTCTGGTCAAATTATGCCGGAAAACCTTGGCGTCGAAATCGGAACCAACGGAAATCGATGGAGATGAGGAAGAAGAAGGTTCTCCAGCAGAGCACCGGACGGAGAGAGTCTTCCGGCATCGGAAAACTCTGATGACAGGAAGAGAGAGATCGGTGCAAGTGGACAGAGGAGTTAGTTGAAGAGACGCCATTGGAGAAGTGGAAGGAATTGTGTGTGTGTGAAAATAGTGTGTGTATTTGAAGGTGAGAAACTGATCCTACGAGGCTATAACCCGTGATCCATATTCTCTATAATTTTCGTGTATCTCAATTTTTTTTAATTATTTAATTTTTATTTTTTGGCGTGTTTTGTATAAGGATTTATGGTTGAAATGTGGCTTTAGATACCTTCTGGTTGCATTTATGCCACCTAAGTATATGTTTATATAGAAAAAAAAATAGCTTTTAAATATTTGAAAATGACATGATACATATGATAATAAAAAATATTCAAACTAAGCATATTTAGTAATGTAGTTTTTGTAGTTATATTAACACCCTGTTTCAAGTTTCAGTCTGTTAGAAAATTATTTATAAAATATGTTACTATATGTGAATTCAATGTTATTTAAAACTTTGATTAATAACTAAAGATTGTTATTAAATAGTTGTAATTAGTAATTAGATATTTGATATTTCATATCCGACGAAAAATGCTAGATTTATTATTATTATTATTATTATTATTATTATTATTATTATTATTATTATTGCATACAATATGTTATTATTGTGTGAAGTCAATACTATTTAAGGCTTTGATTAAATCATTATTAAATAGTTGGTGTTAATAATTGGAAGACAATTGAATATATTTTTATATTTTTTTTTCCTATTTATTCTTTTATTCATATAAGGTTATGACATATGGATATCATTAGTTCTCTCTCTTTAATCTCTTTTCTTGATTTGACTCTTGTTTTGATCTAATAATTAGGAAAAAAATATATATAGGAGAATATTTGATTTTTCAAAAAGAAAATCTTCAAAACTGCATAAAAATTTGCAAACTATGATCAATTTTATTATTCTCTAACCGATAAAAGTATAACAATGCATAAATGTATATAACGTTAGACAGAGACAAATGAAAAACAATAGCACAATATTTTGTGGTCAACACGATCATAATGATCGGCTAAGTCCATAGACGAACACTAAAAAGAGGTTTTATTGATTGACTATTGAATTACAATTCTATTATCTTATTTTAAGCTAGGTTACACAATTCAAGAGATCTATTATATGAGAAAATGATCTAAAATCTATTAATATGGTTAAACCTAGAAACTCTGATGAAAAATTGGCTCATGATCCAAAAAAAACTAAGATTGGACCAAAAAGGACCGGATCATTCCCAGTCTCAAAATACTGCAACGTTTCGAGACCAACCCGAGGTTGATTCGTAATCAGAGGAAAATTTACATAGAAAATAGTCTCCTTTATGTATATTTTCCTCTTAAATGGTGATTACGGATCAATCTCAAGTCGGTTTCGAAACGTTGAAGTCTTTTGAGACTAGGAATGGTCCGATCCTTTTTCGGTCCGGTCTTTGTTTTTTTTGGATCATTGGCCAATTTTTCATCAGAGTTTCTAGGTTTAACCATATTAATAGATTTTAGATCATTTTCTCATATAATAGATCATTTGAATTGTATAACCTAGCTTAAAATAAGATAATAGAACTCTAATTCACTAGTCAATCAATAAAACCTCTCTTTGGTGTTCGTCCATGGACTTAGCTGATCACTGTGATCGTGTTAACCACAAAATATTGTGCTATTGTTTTTCATTTGAGTGGTAGAAGGGATAAAGGTTGTGGGGGAATTTTCACCGTATATGAGAAAGAAATACCACATGCTTTACATATTTTTAATTAAATAAATAGGTAAATTGGTGGTTTAACAATGTTGATTCATAGCTCTTTATTTTGCAATGACAACCTCCATATGCGTAAATAAGTGAGCATTCAACATAAAGAAAAAGGCATACACAAAGCGACCAAGGCACGTTCCTTTGGATCTCGCTAGACATCTCATTCAAGATCAAGGCAGAGATATATGGGTTGGGAGTTGAACCCTGATATAACCCGATTTCAACAAGAAAAGTGTATGTCTCTAATTGGAGTCTAAAAACATGTCGTAGACTGATGATACATCACAAGTAGCCATAACATACCTCATGGGTACTTCCAAGGTCCTCCAAATCGCCTCTCGTGGAACATTTTTATAAGCCTCTTTAGGTCAATAAACACCATATCGAGATCCCTTATTTCTTTCTTTATCTTTATCCATCAAACGTCTAAGTATGTTGATCACTTTAGTGGTCCACCTCCCATGCATGAAACCAAATGGGTTACATGTAAGATTCATGATACCATGCAACCTAGCCCCCAATGTACATTTTTATTATTTTTGTGATTTCGTTTATAAAATTAACCCAAAGTTCACACGGACACACACGATTTTATTAATAAACCCCTTGGAAACTGGTTTAACATAGAGCAACAAGTCCAGTATACATAACAACGTGAATGAAAAGATCTGACATAGATAATAACCCAAAAAGTTGATAGGTTTTTCTCCTTTATATTATATAAAAACTAGTTATATGAAAAGATTGGAGAAATAATAAGATGAATTCACAAAACAGAGTCGCCCCTAGAGTCAGAGCTATACACTTGTTATATAATCTAGATTAACGAGCAACTCTCCTCTTCCGTTTTCACCACCTCAAACATCAGCAGGTAAATTCAGGTCAAACATACCATGACCATGAATGTCTTTTCTAGCCCTCTTTTGAGCAGAAAAACCACTTTCCTCTGAGCTGCCCGACCCCGAAGGCCGGTCAGATTCCTCAGATGTCCCACCTGCAAATACAAAAAAAAAAGACGTAAATACCCTCCTCCTCCTCTTCCAAGAATGCATGCATTTTTACTTTGTGTTGGTTTACCATTGGTTGTGGTGGGGTCATGGAGCTTTTGACGCTTGTCATTGTTGCATGAGTTTGCATGGAAAGCGATGGAAAGTTCCGTAGCCTTTTCGATTCCTTTCGAGTAGTATGGAGCGATGTTATGGATCCCGAATTGTAGGGAGCCCAATAAATCCGTCTCTATACATTCATACCTATAAAAAAAAAAATATATATATATATATATATATATATATATATATATATATATATATATATATATATGTATATCAAATATCAATACAAAACTTGTTGTTTCTTTCTTATAGTTATATAGACTTACATTTTCTTGCATAAGGTGTCGGTGATGACGGAGAGATTAATAACTTGCATCCGTATCTCCATGATCCGATCCTCGGGGTACTGATCAAACGGTTCCTCAATAAACTTTGACAGCTTCTCAACATTGGTTTCAAGTTGCTGTTGTTGATCCTCAAACAGATGCTGTTTAATCTCCATGTCCTCTTTCGTCATTTCATCTTTGAAAAGCTCTTCACCAAACATGTAAAAAGCAAAAGGGTACGAATAGGAAAGCGCTCGCCTTGATCTGAACAACCGATAAAGTCCGTTTGTAACCCAACTGAAGTCCCGTAGGCGTGAATCCTTCTCCTCCAAGATTCTTACTTTTTCCTTTATGGTTTCTTTGAGCCTTGATTCTTGTTTGAATGAATCCGTGTGCGCTTTGTAGCGGTTGTGGTAATGCATGTACCGGTAGAGGTCTCGTTTTGCACGTTCTGATTTCTTTTCGCGGTCTTCTTTGTATCGACCGCAGCTGTGACCCGTGATGTTTGACCACGTGTGATCGCGCCCCGTTGCACCACCACATAGCCAACTAGTTGCCAAATGTAACAAAATTTTATCAACAAAAATTTATCAAATGTAACATATTGTACATTGTCTTACCAAAAGGCTTGTCCACAGATGCAGCTAACTAAATTGCAGCCACCGTTTTTCTCAACTGGTTTGTGACACTTTGGACACGGTTTTGTATGAACTGTAATCCAATTAACTGTTTCTGATTCGTCTTTACATTTTTTAGTCCAGAGTGCCCACATTGCACATGAGCAAGGGGAATGGGCTTCACATAAGCAACTGAAACAGAATTGATTCCCACATGAACATTCCACTTCACAAAACTCATCTTCTTCAACACGGATTGCATTCCCACAATGAGGAGTGCTTGGACACCATTTCACCATCTTATTGTCCTCGATATATGACTCGAGAAGAAACCGATCGAATTTTTCTACCAAATCCGGATGCCTTTTGCCAACTAGATTCCGGATTATGGATTCGTCACATATTGCATAGCATTTGTGGGCCATGCATCGGATACGTTTACTCTGTCCCTCGTTTATTTTTACAATGAAATGCTCTGTCCAACCTAGAAAAAAAAAGTGACTTAGGTCAGCTGCAAATAATATGTAATACCAAAAACTATCAAAAATCCAAATGGTTACTTAAAGATATCTTACAATTGTTACAAAAGCAGTGGCCACAATCCATTTTTGTCTGCTCACTAGATGGCAAGTCCTCCATGCATATATCACACATTGTTGTACAAGTAGACACTGAAGGATCAAGGTCATGAGAGTGAAGCATAGGTAAGCCAGCCTCTTTAAATAAACGATCTTTTCCCTTCTCTACAAGCACTGCAAATATCTTCTCAACATCCCAACGATAATGTATAAGTAGTGTACGTGCATGGTGCTCCCTTAAAGAAAGTAACTCCATAACTCTGCGCAAATCTTCCCTCTAAACAAATAACATAAGTAACATATCATCATTCATTAGTCGTCACTATAGGTTGTAGGATAGGCAGTTGGGTTATAAGTATTAAGTAGAACTAGGCTTCTAAAGTTATACCTGTGCAGCCAAAAGAGACTCTTTTGTGATGACCTGAAAACGATGCAACAAATGATTCAAAAGCTAAATAGTAATAATGATGTTATCTAACAACCAGAAACAATCAACCGATTATAAATTTCCATGAAGAACACATAAAGGAGTAGCAGAGCCACCAGATTATTTTTCTTTAATCTTTCAGATAACAGTGTCATATGGGCTATATGTCAATCTAACAACAGGCCCATAATGTGTTGAGATACAGACCTTGAAATTATGTTAGTTTAATAAACATGATTGAAAAGGGTGAATGACGTGATGCATTAGAAGAAATCAAAACAATGTGTTTATGGAAAACAACTACTATAGAACTAGGATTTCTAAGCTTCAGTGCTTCACATATAGAATTACTATGAACTGTTTATGCCCAAGACAACATAAAGAATGATACATGGAGGCAAAAGGAGAAGGGAAGAAAGCAGCAGCTAAAGCTAAGGTCATGGCGTACGAGCATATACATAGGAGATTGGACAC